TAAGGAGCTGAAAGCAAATTCATATCGTAATGTTTTCCTTAAAAGGAAATCAACATTGCCTACATAACTCTAAACAGCCTCAGGGGCCCGAGTAACTTCACTCATGACCTTTCTTTCCTTTTAGTGGATGGAGGAGGCAGAGGATGACAAAGGTGCTGGGGAGCATCACTGCTTTGTTTCACAGCACAGCCACACAGGCAGCAGCTCTGAGCCATGTGCTGCTGCTCTTCTTTTTCAAGAAAAGGGTCATATTAGGGGAATGGATTTTTTTACAACTAGCTCCATTGTGCCAAGGAGAGGGGATTTTCTTTGCTTTGTGGATGCATGATTTAAGAAGCACTCTAATGCTCTTCATGGCTTGAAGATCTAGTGTAGAGCTATGACTTTAGTCCTTCCAAAATGCCATAAAAACTAATTTATTGCAAGTATAAGCGTCCTAGAACTCACAGCATGTAAAACTAACTTACTTTTTCTTGCGTCCTAGAACTCACAGCATGTAAAACTAACCAGACTAAGAAAAGTAAGGGAACTGAGGGAGGAGGAAGGAAATTCATGTTTCAGGTAATGATCTGAAAGGTCACTCAAGGAGGGGATGGATCCATGGAACTATACAAATTTTGTGTTAAATTTAGTCATACATACAAGAGCAGCAGTCTAACAGGAACACAGAGATATCTTTTGCCTGGATATTAGAATATATTTACCTTATGGTTGCTACAGCCTTTAGCTAGCAGAGCTGAAGCCTCTCCTTTTAAAACCAGGGGGTAAAAAAGGATGCTTCCTTACAGCTTTATTAAACTCTGAATTATATCAATGATGAGTCAGTTGGAACCCGAGCCAAGGCCTATGGACAGGGTTGATGTTATGGTTTCTGGCAATTCTAGATGGGACTGAAATGCAGTTGGACATAAAAGACAGACACAAGCCAGCAGAGTGTTTAGCTGGTGTGTTTATATAAAACAAACATGTTTGAATTTATCTTGAAAAACATCCTGGTGCCAGCAGTCATCCTAAAGATCACTTTCCTTTCTCAGAAGGGCTTATAGGGAGAAGGAATTTTTTTTTTCCTACTGGCTTGTTGGCAGGAAGTTTTTATTATTGTAATTATTACTATTTTTTTTTAAACTTCGGAATATGCTGCAGGGTGATACTTAGCAAGTGGAGTGTTTTGATATAGGAAACATAATAGTTACTGCAGCCATTTTATGTCAACTGCTAAGCAAATTCCTCTTATGTATACACAGTTGCTGTGGTTTTGGTCTCCATCAGATTATGAGGGAGAAAAAATAATATACTTTTTAAAAAATTAAGCAATGAAGTATTTCTTTATCATCTTCCAAGTGAGAATATACAAGTTCTTTACTAGTATCATAATGACCTGTCCACATGATGTATGAAACCTTGTCCCTGTTTCATTCGGGGAAGAAAGAAATGTGGACCACTGAGGTCTTTTGTCCATGAGGATGGGGAGTGCATTAGGTTGAAGAACTGCTGAACTGCAGCCACAGGGGCTGGCAGGGTGACTAGACATCTGCTTTTAGGAAGGTGGCCAAGGGAATGTAGATGTGCCTCAATTAAGGTTTCTTCTGACCCAGCTTGAGAACAGCATCTACATGATGGAGTGAGGCTGGGCCTGTGCCAGGCTTCTCATGGGTCTTCTGCAGCCTGTGTTGAGCTTGGAGCTGTGGTTACTACCTAAATTAGCTGATTTAAAGCTTGCTCGTGTATCTGTGCATTACGCAGAGGAGTGTAAGCATAACCTAGTTCCTGCAACCAGCAGAGTCTGTAAGGGAGGGAACAGTTGAGTGAAAACCATGTCCTCTGTTCCACATAGCCCAGTATGTAAATACTACTTTGGTTTTTTGTTAATTTGCTAACATTTACCATTTCTTTCCTGCTCTGGTGTATGTGTAATTCTTTCATAAATGTAGTTTTTATCTGATTAGCAAAATCATAGCTGATTACTGGTGATTATTTCTTTTCCAAAGTCCTTGTTCATAGTTATTTATTAATGATCCTCTCAGGGTTGTGTACAGATTATTTTCAGTTATCAAAAAGGGATGTTATTAGGTTTTTGAAGCGTTTACACTAGATTCTGTGTCACTGAAACTTTTCTGTATGGGTTGGTTCTTGGGACCCATAATTGAGGTCCTGTAGCTGTGATTTCAGTGGCTCCATGAGAGTGTCTAGCTGTCATCATAGCAGGGAAAAGGAGGCATGGGGGTCAGGAGGTGTTCCTAGTTTTGTAATAAATCCTCAGCCTGACTTGCAGCCGTTCATCATGTTAAGAAAAGAGTTTAGCTCTTCCCTTCAAAACACTGTCATCAATTAAGTTATCCATACATCATTCCAGCATTAAGGCTTTATTAGATCTGTGGTTGCTAGGGTCTGCTCCAGATGTTAGTTTTGATAGTCCTCAAAACCAAGGCTCATTCACACCTGCTGTCCTGGATTCTAGTAACCCGATGACCTTTTGTTGACCAGCGTGTTCTTCTTTTATTGGAGGTGTGATTCTCTTCCTGGCTTATTCACTTATAAGTTAATCTGTGTGGTGCTGGCATGAGCATGAGGGGGACTCATAAAGGGCCAGTTTTATCTTCTGCACCTGTCTTAGTGAGCTTGCCTGAGATAGGGGTGTACCTAGCTAATGATGTCAAGTAACTATTTGCCAGACACTTGATAAATGTTATCAGCCCATGCAGTTGGTTTCACATGCTACATGAGCCCTCTGAGCTTACAGAGGCTGGGAAATTGTAGCCCAGTGCTAAACAGCTCTTGTGGGTAAGAGAACAGGTCCTTGCACCACACCTCTTCTCCCCCGTGTTCCCTGTTTAACCTGATTTTTGCTCTTTTTCACTGAAGTAGCAGCCAAGCATCACACAGCATTGAGCTCTGTGGGTAAATCTCTAAGCTCCTGCTGTCAAACAGGACTTCTCAGGAAGGACTTTGTCTCTCAGAGGGTCAGCCCAGGGATGTGCCTTTTGTCTGAAGCTGAGTGTTTGGCAGGTGGAGCAGGCTCTACTGTGCATCAGCCAGTTTGCCAGCTGAAGGTAGCTGTGCATTTCACTCCTCTGCTGCTCATTGGTGTTTCACAGCAGTTATCCTTTATCCCTCTGTATGTCAGAGGGATGTGGCACAGGGCTTCTGCACTGTGGATGTCAGTGGCCCTGCTCACAGGTCCCTGGTGGCTTTACACAGATGCCTGCAACAACAGCTTCTGCATGGTGTCTTTTTGGAGTAGTGACCCATCAGGTCTTATTGGTGTATGGTTCAACTTGGGTGTTGACTTTTAGTAATTATTCCAATAAGTTGTCCCTCAGTCTGAGGGCTGTCAGCCTGTTTCATGAACACACACATACCCTCCAAACAAGCCAAAGTAAAACCAATACTGTTAAGGGAGCAGTTCTGTGGCCTTGTGCTCCATTGACACACTGCTCTTTTTTTGAACCACTTGTACTTTCCTATTAGCTCACAAATCCCTTTTAATGACACTTTATATGGATTATTAGTGTGTGTTACTGATGCTGTGTGTTGTCTAATGAGGCAACAGCAGCCAAGGTGCAAAGTGTCTCCTACAGATTAATGAGGTCTGGAAAGAAGGTGACTGTCCACTGTGAAAAGAAGGAACTTGATAAGTTAAATCACTTATTTATCACCCAGATGTGGCTCTTACTAGTAGCATTCTTGGTAGGAGAGAAGAAATCAAGTACATGAAATGCAACAGGATCATATTTGTTTGGGGGGGTTCCATGTTTGAATCTGACAGGTTTTAAAAATTATGTATTACCAGATGTTTAGAAGACAGTTAAATTGAATTAACAGCCAACATATCTAGACCTGTATAAACTTACCTAGTGCTAATGTATCTGCAGATTTAGACTAGCCTATCAATTATTACTTTCCTGATTGATGGAATTTTACTTTCCCAATCTTTGCTTATTTCTTTAATAACGATTATGATGGTTTTTTTATTATTATTATTTGTATTAGTGTGGAGAATCTCAGCTTGGTTTTGGCTGTGGTTTTAGATTTCCACCTCATATAGTAAATAACTGGTAGTACTTCAAGACTCTCTTTTTGAAAGAGAGTTTAATTTTTGTTCTCGAGAGATGATCTGTGCCTTAAAGCTATAAGCTGAGTAATCTCACGATCTCTGCTGTTGAGGCTTCATATTTTTAGGTAGTGAAATAGTGTTTAAATTCTTTCTGATAATGTAATAGTTGGAAGTAGCTGGAGCTTTCTGTATGCCATATATTTCATCTTTTTACTGTTAATAGTCTGACCCCATTCAGAAAACATTTCAGACTGCATATCATTTATATTATTAATGGCAGTATTGATTTATGAAATCAACTTTAAAAAATGACTTGCTGATTTACAAGAAAACCAAAAGGATTAATGTGCATTCGCTTTGTACATCTACTCTTCTATCCATTCAAAATGATGATCAAGTCAAAAGTCATTTGATTATCATCCTTGCTCTAAGGTCCTGTGTGTGATCACATATCCTGATAAAGGCATGTTCTTTTTACTTTGGGGGATAGATATACTGATGTTGCAGTACCTGCAGATGTGGAATGATTACTCCTGATGTTAACCTAGAAATTGCCTATGGCTAGGCAATGAAAGCATGCTTTGTTTGCCTTTTTTTACCTTAATCTGCATGCAGAATAGATACAGATGCTGTAAGAGAGTAAAGCAAAGACATAGGAGAGAACTTTGTTGTTGTTCTTTGGAGCTGGATGTTATTCTAGTTTTTATTAAAGCTGCATGAAACAATATAGTGTTGATGTTTGAGAAGCATTGTTTATAAAAGTAAATATTTTTCCCACCTTCTACCACCATGCGTAAGATACTTTACGTTTTATTTTCTTTCCTATAAACCTTTCTTCCCTTCCTTTCTTTCCCCTCACCCCGACATTATGTAGTTGATTTAATTCTCTAGATTGCTTTCCTCAAGCTCTAACTTGAGTTCATTTTGTTATGTGGTGACCACAGTTATGGATGACGCTCCCCCTGGCACACAGGAGTACATTATGTTACGGCAAGATTCCATCCAATCTGCGGAATTAAAGAAAAAAGAGTCCCCTTTTCGTGCTAAGTGTCACGAAATCTTCTGCTGCCCACTGAAGCAAGTGCACCTCAAAGAGAACACAGAGCCAGAAGGTTTGTGGCACTATGGATCCATGTTCTGTTTGTTTCTATGGTTTTTATTTTTCCATGTATGTCCCTAGAGTGTGCTGTGTGTTTTCCAGCCTGTGTCAGTGCAGTGCAACTGATGCAGGAAGCGTGATGCACCCCATGTCCCCCTTTGCTTGCCTGTTAGTGTCTGATTCAGCTATCACGGGACACACTAATATATAAGCCATGTACAGTATCGTCCTAGACAAGAAGCAAAATGATGCTGCTTTTCCTTAAATAAAATGTTTGTTTCAGCTCTCATCATTACACACTGCCCTTTCTTTGGCTGCCAAAAGTTGCTTGCTACTTAATGGCATCAATTCCTAGTTGGTTCTTTCTGGTAACATTTCTGAAGCTGCACTCTGCTGAAAATATGGCACTTAGGCTCCGATTCGGCTTGTCCCCAACACCTTCCACTCCATAAGGCTTCTGCATAGTGCTAGAGAATGCTCATGGCAGCTGTACTTGGGTGAAGCAGGATGAACTGTGTATGTAATGCACGCCTGGTTGCATTTTGGAAAATGAAATGCATGCAGAGCAGAAAAACAAATAAGTAGAATGTTTTCCTTTTCAGATAAAGCAAAGGTATGGTCTGTTCTAATGCTGTGTTTACTAATATGAAGTTCCTAATGAAGTGTCTATATCTTTAACTTGCTCATCTAGTGTACGTAAGATTAAGGTATTTTAAATTATATACTTTTTATATCTTATTGTTCAAAATGTGTTTTGCATTATTGCCTCACATGCCACATGGTAAGCCTTCGACTTTTTGCATAAGCTCCAGTATCTGCTGAGACAAATAATGCTACTGCTGGTAGATGTATTTTAAGATGAAATATTCAGGGCTGGATTCTGCCACAATTGAATCTGCAAAGTGAGCAGGTTTCTCACAAATCACTTGTATTATTCTCTTTGTAATGATGAGCACCAGTTGCTGAACTGTCACTATTAGCCCAAAATATTTCAGTCAATTTCTTTATCCGGGTACATACACTAAATTTTGCATGAATGTTCTTTGCACCACTTCTGGGAGATTTGTGTCTTTAATTTAAAAAGTATTTTAGTAAAATGGCATTTCTTTCTCATCTCACCAGAAATATTAAGTCTGAGACAAACACTGTACAAGGTGTGGAGAGAGGGTTTTTTTTGTTTCAGTGATGATATAACTTAATATTGAAATTGGGTTTTGAAAACATGAAGTCTCCTCTCAAATCTGGGGCCAACTTGATAGAAGTTGTGTTTTATGTAATTCTGAACTCAAGAAACATCAAGGAAAACATGGATTTCATTGCACCCATCTGGATTAGCAAATGTAATGAATTTCTTCTAATATGTCAGGTTTTGTATTTTTTCATGAGTAAAGTTATAAGCCCCGAACTGTTTATGCCATGCTCCTCTGGGAACATCCTCGAGGTGCTCAGCATCCTCAGCAAGTGATATTTGGTGAAATTAAGGGTTCCATGTGAGACAAAGAGAAGAGCCCTAAACTTGGGATCATTTACTCACATTTTATTTCACTTTTTCTTTGTGCTCATGAGGAACCCCAGCAGCTGATGGCTGTTTCAGTGAAACTTATACTGGGAGCTGGATTCCTTCTGAGGACTAGTTCTTAGCTAGGGCTCATCATATTCAGTGTGTAAATTAACAGGTTACACTCTTAGTGGCAGGCAGTGTTCAAGAGGAGCAAGGGAAGCAGAGTTGTGCTGGGCCTTTTTTGTCTCCAGAGCATGAGTCTCCTGTGGGCATGGTTTGGTTCAATGTTGAGGAATTCAGGATCTGCTGGGAGAAGCTTACAAGGTGCAGGCTCTAAATGAAGACCGTTCTGCCATATTGTCACCTGGAAGCCAACAGTTGCTCTTCTTAGATTCTCCATAAATCTACGTACTCTCTCGCTCCAACAACAGCTGTGTTGCTCCTTCCTCCAAGGCATATGATACTATTAACCATTCTTACTGAAAAGGTTTAGTTCTAAGAGGAAAGCTTTTCATGTTTTATTGCAGTATAGAAGGATTAATGTCTCTTCCCCTTTCCCTTTTTATTCCTCCTCCTCTCCTCCAGGAATTTTGTATTCCTAGACAGGGCACAAGAAGCTATGGCCATGTTGTCTTGTTCCAACAGTCTGAGTTGATGGGAACTCACGGGAGTATCAGTTTTTATTGTGTGATTTCTATACTTGTTTCTGTGAAAGATGTTGTATCTAGCATGAGAGAGATTTACATGTTTAGAATTTCTTTCAGCCTCTGTTTCAGCTTAAATTGCCTGGGCTGCACTGGTTTCTTTTCTTAAAAATCTGTGAATTGCCCAGCAATGGTATTAGACTCACTGAATGACTGATGTGTGTCATCTGCAGTGGTCTGTTGGCATGGAGCTTGATAAATTTGGGATATGAAATGATCTGACCTGTGCTTTCAGTGCAAACACTGAAACAGTTGGTTGAGTTAATGGAGTGGCTGAAACAAACCCTACCTGAATACCTTCTAGTGTGAACACAGCAGTTAACAGCTCCATTGTGCTATGAAGATGAATTAAAATAGATGTTTAAACCTGTTACTCTGGCATAATTTACACATTTTTGAAGGTACTAGGAAGTATGACTACTAAGAAGCTATTAGAAATCCTCTCCAAGTAAAATGTTATAATGGAAGTTTTATGGAAATTTGCAGACCTGCAAGACTCTGCAGAGAGTATAAAAATGTGCCTTTTTTAATCTGCTGAGTAATGACATGAGAGCACATATTAAGTCCTGCTTGTTTCTAACTTGGCAACCCTTTGTCTAAATATTTCATTTAGGTGATGGATTTCTTCTCTGAACTTTTAAACCACTTTCCTACACAATTAATGCTTGGGGCATCTCAATGCTTCAGGATTTGAACCCCTAGGCAAGTCTAATGATACCAGGTAAAAGATTTCAATGGCTTTTTGTGGGATCTTTTGGAGAATGTTCTACTATTTGCTGAAAGACTTAAATAGCACCTCACAGTGGCATCTGAACGAAGTGGCCCATAATTGTTCATATCTCAGGACCATTTCTAAAAGCAAGAAAAGGAATGAGAAAGTCAGATCCACGTTTCCCAGACTAACCTGTCTTGATTTCTTCTTCTTTTCCTGGCACCCTACCTGCCTGCTTGTGATGTGATCAGCACCCATGTGCCTCAAATACGCTTTATCAGAATATGTCCAGGTCCAGTTCATTTGGGGTCAACCTGGAGGACACACAGGAGGTCTTTGGTCCAGTAACTGCAGAAAGGACAGGTTTTGAGGTTTTTGGTAGATGTGGAAGATAGGAGGAGACCAATAGGAAATCACAAAATTTCTATCTTCCCTAAATTTTGAAATTCCTGTTTGGGTCCAGTGCCAGCAGAGTGATGTCTGTCAGTCTGGGTAGCAGTCCAGATAGGCTGCTGCCTTCACTAGTGCTGTGGGAAATGTCTAAAGTGAAAAGATTAACTGCTGCTTTTTTCTGCATCATTCCAGCTTTGGTTTGTCAAAGTCATTCTATAGTTTCCAATGTCATGGATCTCTCCTGTGCAATAAAACAAGCAGACCTGACATCCTCACCTCGATGCCAGGTCCTGTGGGCATTGTGCATTGTTTACAGCTACATCCAAGCAGCAGCAAAATACAGGGTGTTTTTGTAGCCTCCCTCCAGCCAGGAATACACTGTGAGCAGAAGGGCCATCTGAAGTACATTTTGCAGCTACTTGTTCTCTTAAATAGTTTAAACGTAAGTTGCTGCTGTCTGTATAAAACATGGTTACATAAAAAAGTCTGCTCTTGGAAAACTAATTTTAGTTGTATTATTACATCTAGAGGAGGCAATATAATGAGAGAAAAGTTTTTTAAAACCACCCATTGGTTTGTCACAGTCACATAACCAAGAGTTTTGGCCTCTTGCCCACAGTTCTGTTTTCGTGCTTTTTTCTGCATCATTCCAGCTTTGGTTTGTCAAAGTCATTCTATAGTTTCCAATGTCATGGATCTCTCCTGTGCAATAAAACAAGCAGACCTGACATCCTCACCTCGATGCCAGGTCCTGTGGGCATTGTGCATTGTTTACAGCTACATCCAAGCAGCAGCAAAATACAGGGTGTTTTTGTAGCCTCCCTCCAGCCAGGAATACACTGTGAGCAGAAGGGCCATCTGAAGTACATTTTGCAGCTACTTGTTCTCTTAAATAGTTTAAACGTAAGTTGCTGCTGTCTGTATAAAACATGGTTACATAAAAAAGTCTGCTCTTGGAAAACTAATTTTAGTTGTATTATTACATCTAGAGGAGGCAATATAATGAGAGAAAAGTTTTTTAAAACCACCCATTGGTTTGTCACAGTCACATAACCAAGAGTTTTGGCCTCTTGCCCACAGTTCTGTTTTCGGGGGGTTTTTTGCCTTTTTTTTTTTTTTTTTTTTAAATGGTTACATTTAGTCTCCTTCCAGGCATACATAACCTTTTTAAACAGAAAAGCAGACAAGCATGGCAAAATATGTTTTGAGGATGGGGAGAGGGAAATCTAGGCTAGCAGCTGGTAATAAGGAAAGTCAGCTTTCTTTAACCAACAGGAAATCTGATTAGATAGAAAATGTTAAGGATTCAAATGTGGAACAAGCAGCTTTGCAGTTGCCCTTGACAATGGTTTGTGATCTTCATCCCTGGCAATGGCTGGCAGAGCCAGTCCTGGGGGAGAGCAAGAGGTAAGACATTCAAGCACATCATGTGGGAGGCTGGCTCTTCCACCCACTCCATGTGCACATGCGGTTCTGTCACCAGCAGAGATTCAGAGCTTTTATGTTATGTTGTTATCCTGGGTGTCCCTTTAGTGCTCCAAGCGTTGTGTCACCACTGATAGTGCTGTGACTTGGCACTCTAATTATATACTTTTCTTCTAGACCAAATCATTCCTGTTAGCCCAGCTCCCTCATTTAATTATGTTAATGCATGAACATTTTGGCATTTTAAAGGTGAAAGAAGAAAGGGGAGGAGAACCTGC